AGGGATTGAATCCCGGCTTTGGCGGCTGCATTTTCGATGGAGGCAAAATTACTGTAGGCCCATGTGCTCAGATTTGGGTGCACGTTAAAGAAGACGAGATGATTGAAATGGCCTGAGCCCTCCATACGGCGTCTCTCATAATCATATGATGGTTTTGGGACGTTAAACCCCACATATCAATCAGTCAGAACTGGTGGTCGCCCTCTGCTTCATGACCTTTCCGTTGTTACTTTTCTCGTTTGCATTCTTTAGTAAACGCTGGATATGCAAGTAAAAACACGAGTACTTCTACTTTTTATTGTGCTGGCTACGTGAACTTGAAGCTGACGCAGCCTTCAAGATAAACCACGCATAAACAAACTCAAATCAGCCAAGTGCAAGATAAAACTGGATCGGGAAGGTCACACGTGCTCAAAAAAAAGGAAAGAAAGAAAAAAAAAAGAAAATAATATTGGTGGAAATGACGCTGTATAAGAGCGCGGTAAAATATCTGTGCTTTACTGCTCTACTGCAACGTTTTGAAGCAAGTGTTGTGTACAATAATTAGGATAAGTAGCCATGCAGTCAGCTATAACGAAATCACTTTTATCTTTTTTTTTGCTCAGTGTAAGTGAGGTTGTTGCTGTGCGATGTACGATGATGCGGAAAGAGCGTGTTCTTCTTAATTTTATGTGTTTTTAGTGGTTGATTCCTATATTTATTTAAATATGCCTCCGCTTTTGAGAAAACTAGTGTACTGTTGTGCTCCATCCGATGGCGCAGTTGCCAGGGGTTTGCTCATTATTGTTGCGTAAAAATGAGTAACTTTGTTTCAATGTCCAGCTCGTTGTTCTTACGTTTTTTGTGCAAGAAACTCCCTGATTCATTATACAATTCACAACACAAACACAGAAGCCGCGTCACTCATGGAAACAATTTTGTTTTGTGTATGAAATACTATATAGCATGTAATCTTGAAACCGAAAGCTGTAAGTACAGTGTTGCACCACCTTTTATGCGCATTCGCGCACGCGCGTGGCCCCACAACACAGGTCAGACTAATGATGATGAGTTTGTACATATAATAACATGACGCGCATGACTAATGCTCACACTTATTTTCCCCCCACGTGTGAGTGGTCAGTCTGGACGCGTTTTAGACGGAAACGGAACGTCGAACGAATGGCTTCAGACGTGATACGTGGACAATCTCTGAACCACGACAGTGAGGATCCGAAAAAAGGCCGGTAAGAGTGACACGATAGTTCACTGGTGACGTTTGTTCATCGATTGTACAGGGCCCAATGAAGCGTGACTGAAGCTTGTCGCACAATCCTGAAGTACGAATGGGCGTCCAAAGCAACACTTCATCCCCCGGACTGAAGGAGACGTCGCGATGAAAGCTGTCGTAGCGTTGCTTGCGATCTTGCTGATTGGCTTCTGTATTAAGGCGAGCCCGTTGCCGATATTCCTCGGGCCTTGCGATGAACTGCTCTGATGCGGTTGCCGAGGCATCAGTTGGAACATTTAGGCATTTAGGAAAGAGACGTCGATGGTGAATGTCCATAACATATATATATATATATATATATATATATATATATATATATATATATATATATATATATATATATATATATATATATATATATATATATATATATATATATATATATATATATATATATATGTATATATATATATATATATATATATATATATATATATATATATATATATATATATTAATGCTTATAAAGAAAGCATAAAGGAAGCAAGGTTCAACCCCTCATCTCCCCATTCTCCTCGGGCAACGTCAGTGCCTGAAAGAAATGGTCACGCATTGGACACGAATGTCGAGTTTGCGCTTGAAGCAGCTTGAGCTAGAGTAATCTGATGTGTTCGAAAGCATCGTTCACCAAAACAAACCCTAGTCTGTTACTTACCGCTAAATGGAGTGGGACCCACCCTTGAGTTATCACGCTGTGTAATCACTTGTCTGTTTGCTGAAGTGATTCGGTAGACCTGTCTGTAAAACGTTGCTCGACAGTGCCGTTGACACAGTTGCCATACGCGACAGCACTACGAACGATGACTCACTAAAAGGCCCTGGTGGCTCTGTTCAGTTGAATAACACGTTGACGTGGGTTCGATTTCCGCTCATAATTGCCATAGATTTATTAAAGCGGAATCTCAAAACTCGGTGTAAAAGTATTTTAGGGTACATAAAAGAGGAAATCGTTCAATAGAGTCGCCCAGCACAGTGACCCTCGTAGCAAAAATATGGTATATACCTGCAAAAATAACGTGTTATTAGAAATACGGAAACTACTTTACTTACATACAATCACACAAATAAATCCCATACAAAAAACCAGCAACTCTATTCGCAAGTTATTAGACTAGGCCTTAATTTTAGAGGACATGTTATGTGTATATGTTGTCCTCTCACAATCTGTCTTACTTTGTTGCGTGAAGCTTCCGATTCCACTTCACACAAGGCGTCCGCTAGCGTTTAGTTGTCCGACACGCCTCCACACTGACGACGACCAAGCTTATGTATGCTCTTTGGACACGCCAGCCGAGCACCGCGTATGCTTGTATAACAGAAAAAGCTACGTGGTCCAGACCAGAGCTTCCTTGTCTCGAGACTACTGAACTGTTTGCTCTCACTCTAGTTTGAGGCCTCGTGTACACGGACGGCCACAGCTACACAGGCTCGGCTGCGTCGTCATCGCGTCTCAAGGAAGCCGCAGCGGGCGGGTCGTTACGACAACGAGCCGCGTTCCCGCCGAAGGAGGCGGCGTGGTCGCGCGTGCTCCAGCTGCATCGACCGCCCGCCGCGTGCTTCTCAAATGGGCCGTGTCCAACAAGCCGCCCGACGACCGCAGCTGTCGTGGGACCCGCGGGAGCGACGGCGTCGCCAAAAAGCACGTGCATGCACGCTTCATTCGCTCTCCAAACGGACGTCATTGTTTCTGCCTCCATTGTTTTCCCACAAAGGTTTGCCGCGAACGACTAGCGCCGCTTAGACAAAGCGCTCCTTTGATTCGCCTCCGCCTTCCTCGGCAGGAATTCGTGTAATCTGCCACGCTTCTGTCGCATACTCATTCATGGGCCGCATCGGGGCGAGCAACGTACGCGAAGGAAATCCTATTAGCTGACTCTCGGGGCTTTTGTCCCGTTACTAAATGGGACATCGGTACGCCCACTGTACGCTCACACCGCGTAAACTGCTCCTGATTGTCATAATTTGGGACACCCTGGTGCGGAACAGTCTACTGTTCCAGCAAATACAATTAAAGGGTGGTACTCTGCAATCATCATGGGTGTATACGTCGCCCTAATCGTGCCATTCCAGATTTGTTTGTCTATTAAATATGAAATGCACTGCGAAAAGTCACGTGTAGTTAAGTAAGTAGGACGAGAAAAGAGCCTTCGAGCATTCAGAAGGCTTTTACAATAAAATGCTTCTTAGAACAATTTTTAAAGCCAATCAGCATGTTGCGAATGGAATTAGCTAAAGGTGCTAGTCATTGGCAATGAACGTTCAACACATTTCATAATTCGGCCCCTTGTCTTTTTCACATCAAGTGAGGATGTAGTAGCTGAAAGCCAACACGTCAGCTCATTTGCTACTGCTGCATAATGAGCTATCACGAAACTGTCGGAAAATGTCTTAAAGTTCTTTGGCCCTTGGTATGATATACGAAGTATTTTGACCTCATCCACAGTTGCCACTGACGTTTTTTTTTAAAATATCGCCAAAAAATGCGCCACTCTAGATGTGTTTGCCATGCCTAGTAAAAAACTTGCAAATTGTGTGTAGCAACGTTAAATACAATACTATCGATAACCTCTAAATTATATTGACATTTTTCATTCCGCCTCGCGTCTCCCGGTGCACTATGGGAGTGCTTGGTGCGCCTGGTTTTCCGACTAGCCGTGAAATGCACTTGATGGTGCAAGGGCTGCACCCGTTATTAATAGAACGTTCATGATCATCCTTCCATAGCGATTCGCTGAACACCGGAAAAACGGAAATAACTTCATTGAAATATGTATACTGTGTAACCTACACGATGCGTGCACCAAGCTTTGTGTGCGGCCAAGCTTACGCTACACATTAACCTCGCTGAAGTTACTGAAAGCCGCTTAGAGAAGCTTGCTTCTGGGTGTGATACAAAAATCGGTTAATAACAAAATAAATTCTACGTAGTCAACTAGGACGTACTGCAGCAGTGACGAAATCACCAAGCTATTCAGAAAAGTTTCAAATGTGGGAACAAGCGGCCTAACTATTGTCTAGACACTTCAGAAGCCAAACTTTAGAGGAGCCTATAGCACCTTGAAGAAACTAGTTTAATACCAAAGCCTCGCGGAACGCAAAGCAATCCGATGACTTACACCTTGCTGATAGGTTGCTGGGGGATGCACCAGCACCTCCGTATTTTAGATTTATTTAGAAACAGCACTGGCATACTGAACTGCGCAAAAAGTGACTTTTACTTCTGAGTCTAAAAGACAGAAAAATTGATAAAATGTTGCTTATTTGTAAGGAAGACACCAAGCATAGAATGCATAATGCAGTGCAGACGTAAACAGAAATTGCCAAAAATTGACCATGTCGCCATTCCTTATTTTAAGTAACCCCGAGCCTCTGAAATTCGCCAATTTGGCGAAAAGTAGCCACCATTAGCAACCCTCACCTGATCTGTCTATTTTTCTTTTTCCATCCCCATCGTAGAAGCCAACTAGTCAGTGTGCTGGTTAACCCGCATGCCTTCTTTGTTCGGGATCAGTCGTACGAAACTCGCTTTGAGGACCATACAAAACAAATGTTACGAAGCGAGAACTCTGAGCAGCTCTTCAACCTGTTTTCACGAAAGCAACTACAGAGATACATTTTATAAGCTCTTTTTTTTTTTGGATGCATGCTGTTCAGCACGCAGAATTTTCTGGCTGGAGTACCCGAAGACCGGTTAAATCTTTGCTACGCTGAAAATATTGCCACAATAAAGTGGTGTTCTTAACCTTTCAGTAATCTTCCTGCAATCGGTGACTTCAAATAGCTACATATGTAGCGAAAGAAACAAATGATATGTAATAATAATATATGTGGTTTAACGTCTCAAAGCCACGATACAATTATGAGGGACGCCGTAGTGGATAGTGCCGAAAATGTTGATAATCTGGTGTTCGTTAACGTTTTCTGACATCCCGCAATACACAGGCCTCCAGCGTTCTGCCTCTACTGAAATGCGACTCCCGTGGCCGGCATTGCGCCCGCGACATTTCGGCCGACAGCCTAGTACCGTAACCGCTACACCACAGCAGCGGAAATGTAGCTAACAAGTGCAACACAAGAGGGTATTGCTGTCAAAGAAGCCGCAAAACAAAACTTCGCCGGAGTGGGCATTGCAGTTTGCGAGCTGCCACTCCCTGTTGCCGAAAAAAAAAACAAGTAATTTTATACCTGACTAAAGCTCTGTTTTATTTTTCTGTATTACTTGCGCTTCGTGCAGCTTAATATTAGCCTCCAGCATCCTTTGGTCCGGTGATGAAAATGACAAGCGGCTGTCCTTGGAGAAACAAAAGAGGCCTCTCACAGTAATCTGCTCGCGAGCGTCTATCGCCCATCAGGTGACACCCGATAATGTGCTGATGCCAATGCCGACAAAAGACAGAATGGAGAGGGAAGATTACGCGAGGGCACACCACGAGGCAGATAATTCTCTCCTTCGGTTCTGCACCACGTGACTAGTCGATGTCAGCCCAAAAGGAGCGGGCGTATCACCCTCCTAGCTGCTCAGTTTGCCGTGAGGCCACTCGTACAAACAATGGAGTCGCGCCGTCAGCTGTTGCTCGCCGCTCTGATGCTGTCAACAGTCGCATGCGCCGTGGGCGACTGGCCGCGGTGTGCATCACCGGACGGCACCATCGTCAGCTTCCACGTGGACGGCTGCAGCCAACCCGACACTTGCATTCTGAAGAAAGGTACCCAGGCCAACGTGACCATCGTCTTCAATTCCAACGTCACCAGCAATGGCGTCAAAGTCAAGGTGCACGGCTTAATCCACAAGGTACCCCTTCCATTCCCGCTACCACAGTCCGACGCCTGTCAGAGCGGTGTGGTGTGCCCAATCAAGGCAGGGGCCAGCTACACCTATCGCGGCTCTTTTCCCGTCAGGGAATCGTACCCGTCCATCTCGCTCGACGTCAAATGGGAGCTGGTCGACGACAACGGCAGTGACCTCACCTGCCAGCTGATTCCCGTTGAGATCGAGAGCTGAACATTTCTGTCTAAACGACGAAGCTGTTCGACAGCGTCACTCTTCAAAGGACCCTGTTCGCGAATGAAAGCAATTAAAAACTTTAATTCGCCGAGTGTCAGCGAGACGCTTCTTTGTCAACATGCATATTCAACCGAGTTCTCACTGGGTTGAGTGCGCACTTCCATAATTTTAATGACGAGGCCTTCATGAGACAGTTATGCTCCAACTTTACCGTATTGGGTATGTATTTATAGCCTCTTTTATTTGCCTATCTCGCGTATAAGGGTGTCTAACAATGTGAGCCCCTCCAAAACGTAGCGCAGTGGATATGTGAAGTTATAAGGACGTGCGTGGCCTGATCGCGAAGGCAGAGAAGTCTAATGGCCTGTTCTCATTGTTTGCGCAGTCTGTCTGTCTCCGTGGGTCACTCCTGGTATATATGGTGCAGTGTTAGATATGTGGACTGATTCTGATGGCAGTGCAGCCTAAAATGCGGCCCGTTCCTGTAATACGCTTGTTTTCAAAACAAGCGAATACCACCAGACCTGCGCGGAACGCGCTGCACTGTCTCTGGGGAAGCTGGCAGAACGACCTTTCAGAGTCTAATATATGAGTAATATGAGTAATAAAGCGTTTCGGAGCATCAAAGGAGCAACCAGTCGTCACACATTGCGAATCGTGGCGAGTGGGTCCTGCAATGCTCCAACATATTTGAAAACTTGTTCTTGATCACCTATTAACTGTGGCGCATACCCAATTCAGGAATAATTCTTCGTCGTCGTCAGCCACTGCACAAAAAAAAAGTGCTCAAAATTCCGAGCAAGTGCGTAGCGCATACTAGGCTTCTCCAAAGAATGACGAAGGATAGCACAGTGAATGCTGGCCAACTACACAAAAATTATATTTGGGGCGTAGTGGGTACCCAGCAAGTGGGCTTGCAGCAGCTACCCGAACAGTTAAAAAAATGCTCTGAAAGTCCGCTTTTCCAGCTTACGCTGTGACTGTGATGTGCATTACGCGCAGGCGTCGTGTCTTTGTTTTGTTTGTTTACTCATTTTTTTTTTCGTGCGATAGTGGTTACGGGCACCAGTGGCGGTGACGAACAACTACGGCGCGCCCATGAACTGTGTTGCGATCCCATACCTTTCGCTGTAATACCGTGCAAGAAATGCTTAATTTGGAACATTTCTCATGCGAAGCGTGACGTGACAGCATGGCGTGCCAAGTAATTCCACCCCCTTTCTCACCTCGCACTCACTCCGGATGGCACTGCATTTCACCGTATTTGATTTTCGTTAATACCCAGCCAGCTATATTAGTTCTAGCTGTTATTAGTAGTATGCTAAAGAAAATACTGCGAAAATTCATTGACTACTTGGCTGATCCCCACATTGCGTATGAGCCATCAGACAAGAAGAAGAGGAAGAAGAAGAAGAAGGAAAAGAAAACAAAAAAGAAAAAGAAGAAGAAGAAGAAGAAGAAGATTTTTGACCACTACATTAAACGATCACTTGGTACATGCAGAAACAAAAAAATGTAATAGCTACAGATGCTTCTGTCAACAATGAAAAGGCAGGCGTAGGAATTGCGTCTGATTTCCTCGGCTGGTCTTTTTTGAGTAAGGCTTCCAGATTTCACTCCTATATTTGAAGCCGAGCTGGTAGCTATTATTTTAGCTCTTCGTAAAATTCCTACGACCGAGACCAGTGCAATCACCCTAACAGACTCACTTTCTGTGTGTGCAGCTCTGACAACCTCTGAACAATCTCGTGCCCTACCAGCGTTCCACACATTAGCACCGCCGCATTTAAAACTCCTCAAATTAGTGTGGGTCCCAGGTCACTGCGGATTACAATTAAATGAACTGGCAGATGCTTTGGCACGAGCATCACTCGATGGACCAGTAATTTCTATACTTCCCGAGTTAGAATACTTATCAGGGGTTAGATATAGGAAATTCGCTATTTTTACAGATAGTTTAGAAAATATCACACAATGGACAGATTATCAGCACCTCAAATTTCCATGGAAAACGCAGTGGAGTCCGTCAAAAAAACTTGAAATTATAATCTCCAGATTCCGGTGCCGTGTCCCCCCCATTAAATTTTTATTTACACAGAGCTGGTCTGACACTTTCCCCCCTTTGTCTGTTTTGCGAAGAATCAAAAAATATTGAACATTATTTTGGCTCATGTCGTAACTATGAATTAATTAGGAAACGACTTTTAGATATTCCATTTGCGAAGCTAGGTTTAAATTTAACCACAGAAAATGTTCTAAATTTTGGTGCCTTTGTTTTGGGAAATTGCCACAGAGATGGATTCGATGCGGTGTGTAATTTTATTCAAGTCTCTAAACGTTTTTCAACATAAAGCCCACATTAACAGGTACTCAAAAAAACGGGTCGAAATGTAATTTTCATATCTGGATAAATCCGTGACATACGAAATTAATCGGGTTTGGCAAAACCAGCTGTCTGGTCGGCTCCCAAAATCAAATTATAGCTATCAGTGTCTAATTTGTTGTTGATTATTTTTTTCTCACTATCTAAATCTTTGGTTTCTTTCTTTTTTTTAACATACTGTCTTCACTATATAACTACCCCCCCCCTTTTTTTTTTTCGTTGTAAGCAATAATGCAGTTATCGTCCATATGAGACTATATGTTCTCTTGGCCAATCCCCCAGAGTGGGTACGAGCCATGGATTAGAGGATACAAACAAGCAAACAAAGAAGAAGAAGAAGAAGAAGAAGAAGAAGAAGAAGAAGAAGAAGAAGAAGAAGAAGAAGAAGAAGAAGAAGAAGAAGAAGAAGAAGAAGAAGAAGAACTAGTATACAATGATTTATAGCGTAATGGGTACCCAGCAAGTCTCCTTGCAGGAGCTGCCCAAATAGTTAAAAAAAAAAGGCTCTGAAAGGCTGCTGTGCCAGCTTTCGCTGTAACAGTGCTGCGCTTTCCGGGCAAACCTAGTGGTTTCTTTAATGCTCTATGCAAACTTTCCTGCCACATAAAAATATCTAACGTGGCTTGCTCACTCTTCGACATAAATCTAACGACACTTCTTAAGGTACTTCAGAATTCGAAGTGGAAACGGTGTGTACGACATTTCTAATCACGCACTTTTTTTTGTTGCCATTTTTGTTGATAAAGCATAAGCATAAAGATAATAAGGAGACTTACGTTCAATAGTGATTACTGCTTCTTTTTCGTTGCAGTGTCAAAACAATTTACGCGTAGGAATAGCCATTATGAGTTGATCAAAGCGAGCACACTAAAATTCACTGAGAGGTTGTCCCGTAGTCCGTGACATTGTTAGTAAGACGTTTTTGCGGGCTTATTTTGTTCATACTCTGGTGAGGTCAAAAGTTTTATAGCGTTAACGTCTCTCAACCTATCAAGGATATGGAATGAGCAAGACACCATGGATGCAGTCGCGTCTTTCTGGTTCCTTCCCTGTCACGGTCCTGTGTGTGTGTGTTTTTTAGCAGATATAATCTTACTCAATACCTATAATGTCTAACTGTTTCTGGGTGTGTTCACTTGGCAACTAAAAAGTAACAAATGAGAGCTGCGGCAGAACTGCATCGCGTCTGCGTTCCAACACTACGAGTGTAAAGTGATATGAGCTGTGGATTAACATTGTTTCTGGGCGTTTGTGCCTTAGCAAAGTGTGGCTATAAAACATGTCCCTCTCGCAGCTACCGTCGACTTCAGTAACGTTTGTACAGTTATACATTCCCTCGAAGTTCCTTTTTTGCTTTCGCCACTCCAAACATATCTCGACGTAACATGCCCTTTTCCCTAGATGATTCCACGAACAGCAATATGATCCCATCGGTCATCTCATTCTACGATGTGATGTCTACAACACGTTGTAGATGTAGAAGGATTTGCGATCCATGTCAGTTAAGATTCCATGTCCAAAAGAATGGATTAAAAAAAGAATGTCATAGCCCGACTAATGCAGAGCTCACACAGCATGGTTTTATCCTAATACTATATGTAGGATATGTTGGCACCTTATCTTCGGCCATTTCTTTTCACATGGAAGGTGTGCAAGCGGGCAAATAAATGAAGAGATATAAACAAAGCGGAAAATCAAGTCGTCAAGTCGGGTAACATAAATGTACAAAAAACAAACTAAAAACATATATTGCATAAACATGAGCGATAGTAATGTGAGCTTAAGTAAATGCACAAATGACCTAAAGAAGGCTGTTTGTTTCGTATCTATACCAGCGGCATTTTTTTCTTGCGTCCACTTTGAACATTTTTTTTCCGTTACGTCACAATTACTACGCTGCGAATGGCTGCAACTGAAAACCATGCGGAAGCCGCCCCTGTAATTTCCTTGGCTTCATTATCTGTTCGTTTCGTATGCTTCCGTATAATAAAAGAAAGAGCCACTTCACCCATTTCCATTCTTTTGTTCGCTTCCGGAGAGGTCCCATAAAATGCACTAAAATTCAAACATATTTAAAAAATGAAGATATTTGGGATATAACCGCTCATAATGGCGCATTTTTATTGTACCGAAAATGCAATTTTACCAGAGTGGACGGCATACTGTGGGACAAATTATCATCGCGCGCGCTTCTTTTTGCATTTGTTATGCGACCGGATCCGTTGTGCATGTGACGCCTGTCGTCACTCAGTGCGCCGGAGAGTCGAACATTTCCGATTGTTTTCTATTATTCTGGCCAGATTGAGCGTACAACTGAGCAGTACAGTTTAATCCTGAACAACGCGGCCACAATCGATAAGCCTCAAATCTTCGATGCCACATGTATCGATGTCGATGCACCTTAGCGCTGATCAGCTTTTATTCGAGGACCGACGACGGTCTCCGCCGATATCATTGCAGTTTGAAAGTCGTCCGAGCACAAGTTCACACAAATAGAGAGTTTCGTCTTGAACGCGCTGACTGCCACCTTCTTCAACGTAATGATCACGTGAAAATAGTATGCTGTCATATGAGATATATTGTGCGACGACAAGAGGAGTTGAACTATACGAATACGTAATCACCACGACCGAACGATGATTAGCCAGTGATAATATTTTAAAATATTACGTTCACTATCTGTTTCCAGCTGCCGAAGCAGCCAAGGGACTACGTTGAAATGTGTGACATAGCCAGAATTTATGAAATATCCAGAATCCTGATTGTGGCTTTTATATGTTCTATATGGCCAGCAAGCCGGTGCACTTTCGAACGCTCGTCGTAGAATCATGTCCTTCGACGATTCATCGGTCAAGTTGAGCGACGCCGTACAGGTGATATCCACGTCATATTCTGAAACATATAGGGTGTGGCTCAATTGTGTATCTCAATTCATGACATCACTGCATGTGCACGTGTTTGTCGATTTGTTTCAAGTGATTGATTGATTTGTGGGGTTTAACGTCGCCAAACCACCATATGATTACAAGAGACGCCGTTGTGGAGGGCTCCGGAAATTTCGACCACCTAACGTGCACCCACAACGGAGTACACGGGCCTACAACATTTCCGCCTCGATTTGTTTCAAGTCTCCATATTTGATTGCGTAAACTACAGCGCAAAAATTCTGAGGCGTACACCCTATCAAGAGAGTGAAGATGCAAGGTCCACGAGTATGTATTATGATTCATTCTAGTGCTAGCACGAAGTCGCGCTGCTAAGCTCGAGGGCGCGGGTTCGACTCCCGGTGATGTCAGCCGCACCTCACTGGGGTGAAATTCAGAAACGACCCGTTGGCCTATATACTTATGCGCAGGTTAAGGAACATCAGGGGCGTAGAAGTTACTCCCCACGCCACTACTGTAGCACTCATAATCGCATCGTGGCTTTGGTGCGCAATAATCCTAGCAATCACTGTTGTTACAGTCAGGCTCACGTAAATGCGACCGCAGCGCTTCATCACCGCAATCGCTTGAAATAGTATAAAATGTCAGCAACGTGCGTTGCCTCAAAGCTCTCAGTTGGTCTAATAAACGAGACACCGACGTGTAGCACGCTGGCGGCTTCGTATCAGGACAAAAACGAGTGGAAAGTGCAAGCAGTCGTTTCCTTTCGCTGAAGGACCCTTTGTAAGAATCGCTGATACGAGCCAGTGGCGCGCCGTAATCTATGCGTGGCATTTGTTATCGGTCTGGGTGCCATTGATATGGGCACGATAAGAAAAAATATTTAGAGCCTTTGAGGTGGCAGTCGGTGATACGGTTCTGCCCTCTCGCTCTTTCTGTTTGCTGATATGTCAGAAATGACTTTTCGTTGCAGCTGCTGTCATTATTTCAAACGCAATCGAATGAATAAACTTGGTAGCACTGAACTGAAATCGTTTTGTTACTACTAATTAATACACCTGGCCGCATGCAGGAGTAACTCTTGAAGTGTGTCATATATATATATATATATATATATACATATATATATATATATATATATATATATATATATATATATATATATATATATATATATATATATATATATATATATAAAATAAGGGAAAGAAGTGTATACCTAAGGGCTCGTTTTTCCGTGTTTTTAACACAATAATAATGAGATATAACAGACAGTCATGCCAAGGAATGTACAGGGGAAGTTATTAACATTAATGGAATGTAAATAAGAAGAAAGAAAAGTGGATGAAAAAATTACCAACTGTGAGCAGGAATCGAACCTACGACCTTCGAAGGTCGTAGGTTCGATTCCTGCTCACAGTTGGTAATTTTTTCATCCACTTTTCTTTCTTCTTATTTACATTCCATTAATGTTAATAACTTCCCCTGTACATTCCTTGGCATTACTGTCTGTTATATCTCATTATATATATATATATATATATATATATATATATATATATATATATATATATATATATATATATATATATATATATATATATAGCTCGTACATAATCATCGATGAAAGAGAAGCAAAAGTAGGCAGAAAACAAGTAGGCTGAATAATCGGGCTGAACTCAGCAATCATGCAACGGGGAAGGAGAAAAGTGGACTGAAAGATGGTGAAAATTTCGCACTGTTACTGTTTATAATATTGCTTCCCTTTTGTACAGCCTTGTTGAAACTTGATGACAGGCTATTTACGGCAATGAAAAAAATTGCTGAAGCTTGCACTAAGCCACGCGAGCCCTAATATAGCGAAACGGGATGATTCTGAAGTCTAATTTGGCTGCCTCTGTGTTGTTCCTAGTGCTTAGCTAGGTGATCCGAAGTTGTTTCTACGTTCATTTTCAGTGCAGAGGTTCGAGGTAAAGCACACACCGTCACAAACTCAACACGAATATCCAAACTCCAAACAAAGAAACTCGCTCTGAAACCAAGCGTTCACACCACTCATGCAGTCACAGACACGACATGCATGATGTTTAATCACACATTCTCACCCTGAAACCGAGCGTTCACGCCTCTGATAGATATATCGTCGCGTATAGGCCTTCCGTCGATTCGGGGTCTTCTCGTAACCGCCGTTGCCTTTTCAGTTACTTGTTGATTGGTTAATCCTTAGTCACCAGGTGTAACCCATCGCGAGAGATCGGCCATGAAGCGGGTGATACCTTAGTTTAGAGATTCGTTTTGCAGTCCGGATATGTTTGGAAGCGTATGGTTTAAATAAAAAGTAAATAATTCGTGCAGTCAGGGCAAAAATATTTTAAAGCCAAAAAGTAAAGTGAAAATATAAAGTCAGCATTGACGAACTATTTCTTTCCTTCATTTAGTGAGCCAGTGCTGTTTTGGGGAATTTATTTGCTTTCTATGGTCACATAACCATTTATTTTTTGAGACAGGGTAAGACACATTACAGCTAGCTTAAGCACCTCAGCTGTTAAAAAAGAACAGTTCTGCTTTGCTGTAGTGAGGGGATTTCTCAACACGACACTGAATTTCAATAAACGCGCCATCTATCGGCTGTAATCGGCAGACCACTGGCGTTGGGCCTCTGCACTTATAAACCGTACCTGCGTGAGCTTTTCAACACTGCAAACTCCCATACACCATCCTCACAGCTGCTCAGTCATGCATAGTAAATTTATGTTCTGCTTGTCATTATCGATGTTGCCGCGCCACTGTTATCTTCAATTTGCGTAGTCCTCTCACACTTGCCGAGTCATTTTTAACGCAGCTGAGTTATTCTCCCTCAATCATATTTTGTTTAGGAATTCTCAACTTTGTGGAGCTGTGAAACAGAAACGTATAATGTTGTGAGACAAAAAGATGCCTCAAGTAGGGCTCCTTTTGTACCCTTGCCTAATTTGGTTTTTTTTTCCGCACGTGTTATATCACCATAGGTTTTCGTGGTCTTAAATTGTCCTGGCCAGCAACATGATGCATTCAATGTAGCACAGAACTACTACGAAATATCAACCAAATTATTTCGTGAGAAATATGTGCCGTGGACAGCCCGCTGTGGAGAACATAGGCGCCTCCACGTATTGCAAGCACTACGCCTGGAGAGAGAGTGGTTTGCTTACAGAAAGGCCGAGAAGTCGGCCTGAGTTTCCAGCCTGCTACTATACACAGAGGGAGGTGAATAAGGAAGAAAAAAAGTAATGAATGACGATGGGAAGGTAAAGAGGTACATATGCACAGTTATGCACATATGAACAGGCCGATGCATTAATGATCGCTTGAGAGAGCACGCTTACTCTCTAAAAGGCTCCGTTTCCAGCCACTTCGTGGATTATTGTTACAAGTGTGGCTGTCAGCCAATTTGGGACATGTGTGTGATTATGGGGCGATATAAAAATCAGCGCGAGCGAGAGATTAGCGAAGCCTTCCACATACAACAGTTTGGTGCTTCCTGTGTTAGCGTAGCTTCAGTTTTTTTTCACGGCTGTGAAATTAGTTATCTAGGGTCCACTGATATGACTGGCTCTTAATAAGGTAGGTCGTTTAGAACATGTATGTGCGATTTTGCTCATGTTGCGAGGTTATGCCCAGATTCTGTTTTCCTATATATTGCAGTTAGTTTGCAATAAACTTTGGTTGTTAGTTCAGCGCTCAGTTCTCGTCTCTTCTATCCCCTCTTGTCGTTTGCGCTGTTAAGCACTTTCTTCATCTACCATGCAGCACCAACCAGCCCAATCAAGCACTTTGTTAATGCACAGTTTCGTCAGGTTGACGCAGTGCTACAGTCGCACATCTAGTCCAGTAGATTGTTGAAAAGATGTGGCCGCTCTTACAGCCACCGTTGCACTGTTTGCATCAGGCCAAGGGGCCAACACAACATCATCAGTTAGTTGCCTATTATGCGGTCCCTCAGTGGAGAAAATAAAATGCTTTGGCTCATGTACGTAAAATAGGTAGGTACCAAGTATGTGCTCTAGAGTTTCTGGTATAAGAAATAGAGCCGGTGTCATTGCAGCTGATTGTGTGGGCATATCTTGTTAAAGGCCCACCAACACTAATCCGCTGAATCATACTTGTGATGTGTCGTTTTGATTTATGAGTCATGCAGAATCTCATTTCCGGGACTCATTTCTGCAATCCCCGGTGTCTTCCCCTACGTGTTTGATTAGCGTAGCGTGATATCCCCTACGTGTTTGATTAGTGGTGAATTGTTTAGGTGCGCATAATGCACCGAAGCAGTGCGTTCGTGTTTCGCTTGTAAACAAAATTAGCAGGCCATATGGGGATGGCACAAATGTATTGCTTTTATTGTTCCACCATTGCTTGTCTTATATTTACTAACTTTATCGAAGGCTAGTTAACAACACTTACTAGCGTTACCTTGCCATATAATTTGTTTTTCTCTATTGTATGTGTACAGCTGGAGTGTGCGGCGACGTGCGTCTTGTTGCCAAAGCTGGCCTAAATTTTAAACCGTGCATTTGCATGCTTTTCAGCACTCTTGTTTATACATCTCAGATTATGCGTGCTCAGAGGCTATAGATTGACCACTGCTTGGGTTTTGTACCGCAGAGAGGCGTCAACATGGGGAGTAGCCCGGGCACACGCGCCTGCTACGCGGCGGCCGGCATCTTCACGCTGTCGGGATTCCTGCTGTCGGGTGCCAGTGTGGCCATCGTCATGATGATTGTGCGCGACGACAAACTGGACGAGCAGCTCTGGACGGCCGCTGTTCTCGTGGTGGGCGTCAGCTTCGGCGTGCTCTGCCTCGGTATTCTGGTGTGCGCCTGTGCCATGTGCAAGCGCATGGCCGCCAGCCAGGCGGCGTTGGACAAGGCCGAGGCCGTGCGTGAGCAGGGGGCCAAACGGCGGCTGTCGCCGGCCACCTTCCCGGCTGGACACGCTGCAGCTGTGCGTGTCTGGAGCACAGCTGGTTCGCTGGACCCGCTGCTGCCCGGTCAGGTCACGGCCACCGAGAGCCCCTCCGAGGCCGAGGATGACGAGCAGCCCCGTGAAGATGCAGCCTAGGCGGCTCCGCGCCGCCCTCGTGTGGGATGCGGGGCAGACGGTGGTGAAGGTGAACCGCTCCATGCACTCCAGGCAACGCTTCACGTCTCTAGTGAAAAACGAAGATCGACATTTCCCCGTGTGCTACTTTGACTGTGCGAAGCTGACTCCTCGCGTCGTCACCGGTCTCGTATATGGCAGTGGGTATACAGCTGTCGTCACCTTCCGAGTTGAAAACACTGCAATACGTCCCTTTCTTAAGAAGGTGAAGTCAAGACAGGTACTTTAGGCTCCTGCGGCTCTTGAATATCACCTATGAAGAGGCTTTTTGGCACTGCAGTACTTACACATCACTAAAACTTGAACAAGGTATGCGGAAGATTCTCGAAGGATGACTAAGAAACGGTTATGAGTGCTTTTTCTGTTCACCTATTAGCACGACACTCGTTTTTTCGGCCAAATACAGTAGCTAACCTACAACAACCGCAGCAAAACGACTGACAGCAGTCCACGCAATTCGCGTAGATTCCTGCATTTCCAAGATGAGCGCTTTGATTATAGCATTGAATTCATCAGTGCTGGGGGCTTCGTGAAGTCCCGTAGGTGACGCATAGCAGTAAGCGTGAATACTCGGTTCGAACATTCAAAGGTTCAGTTCGTGGTTTGCCGAAAGGGACAACTTAAAGTTGGCAGCATAAAGTGGAAGTGCCAAGTTCTAAATTTGTGACCACAATTATTATTGATTTCCATTATCCGAAATATTTATTGAAATACATAAATAAAAGTCCCATATGTTTAATATTCCTCGGGGACTATAAAGCCGAACAGCATGCATGCTGCAAAGAGCAAAAGTATGGTGCTAGTGATTTTGAGGGGCTTAGGCTGTATAATTGCATCGGGGCGTCTGAGCTCGACGCTGACGCAGCTACTGGAAGTACTTTACCGCTTAACTGATATAACACAAGAACATCCACACTCATGTTGCAGCCTATAGGATGAAAATGTCTATTTGCAATTGGAATTGTAATGGAGAAACTTGAGCACCAAGTGATTAATCTGGCCATGGCCTAATGGGGAGCTCAGCACTTTCACAGTTAATATAGCGTTCATGTGTTTGTCCTCTTGAGATAGAAGAAGCCAGTAGTGGCAGCTGTAGGGCAGAGAAGGCTTTGTGAATGCTGCAATTTTTTAGCACTGCGGAGGAGAGTCGTGGAAATTTACGGCAGTGCCAAATGATACCCCTAGACAAGCGATAAAAGTATGGAAAACATATCATCCGCCTGCGACAGAAGTCCTCTATTTGTAGGACAAAATGCTACTTTCTGGGCAAAAGTAGTAACTTGGCTGCACACGAGCCTCATAGCCCTCACACGTAGAGCAAGATGCCCTTGAGGCAAGCGTGACACACATTTTACAGGTTCTCATCAAACACCTCATCATCAACGTCTAAATTTTGTGGCTGAAAGGAGCCCAACGTAACTCTTCTCGTCACATCGCAAGTAAAACCGTGTGTCGTGCACGTACTGCGGTAAAGCATTTATATTCATTTGCACTATATAACTGCCCGTGGAAAAAGGACTATATATGCGTCGTAATACTCCTGTGCATACGGCGTGTTCGTGTACCAAGCTCTACGAATTTCCGTCAGCAGTTGAGGACAAAGGGGGAGACGCATACAATACCAAGGCGCATCGTGCAAAGTGTGTACATCTCCCTATGGGCCCTCGTCTGGGCGAAGCTTGCGACCATGTGATGGTCCGCGGTGGTGTTGCATCAGATGGAGTTCTTAAAAGCGGCGATTGTCCCGCATGAGGTGATAGCAGGGCAGGTGCGGGTCGGCACACGCTGAGCGACCCAGTCTCTCTAAGAAATCCAATCGGCAGTAGTAAAACTTTACTCGATTGCCGCCAGCCCTTGAGTTATCCCGCCATCACCAAAGCCCGCGTGCGTAGAATCTCCATTTTAGTGCATTTTTCTGTGTCACTGCTAGAATGCACTAACGAATGATCTAAGGAACTGCAGTGCATGGAGCTTTACGTGCCAAACCCGCGCTGTGATTATAAGGCACGCCACAGTGTGCGCGCGGGTCACCAAATTGATTTTGACCGCGTGAGCTTCTATAAAGAGCACCATAATGTAACTGATTGTCATGTGGCGTTAAACGTCCCAAAACCACCTTGTGATTATGAAGGACGCCGCAGTGGAGGGTTCCGGAATTTTAGATCACCTGGGGCTCTTGAACGTGCACCCAAACGGGAGCACACGGGCCTATAGCATTTTCACCTCCATCTAAAACGCTGCCGCCACAACCGAAATTCAATCCCACGACCTGCGGGTCAGTAGGCGAGTACCTTAGCCAATACACCACCACGGCGGGGTGACCTATATCTAAGTACACGGACGTCTTTGCATTTCACCGCTATTGAAATGTGGCCACCATGGGCAGGAATCGAACCTTCGTCTTCGAGCTCAGCAGCGCGGCAACTTAGCCACTGGCTACCCGGCGGATAAAACGTTCTTTGTCATCGATCTCACCGTACAAGGCATAGAGAGTAGGGAAGCGCATCGTCCAGTCTTGATTAACAGATCCTTATTCACGAGTATGTTACACACACAGTGAACAGACAGCGCCACTTGTACCGTTCGCAGCGCATCATGTTGTCAACGTCTCCCTTTTCTCTTTTTCGACTGGCACTGAAAATTCATCGCATCGAATTTTTCACGAGGCCTTGGCACTTGGGAGAAACGAACCACGTCGGTTCGTGAATATCTATTTGTGCAAAAATCCAACTACTAATGAAAGACCCCATATCTTTGCTTTCTAAGGTCTTGTGTGCCATAAACAAAGTATACGCGTGCACTGCTCGGTACACTGTTCGAACATTCTCACCACTCATTTGGCGTGTGAACAAGTATAGAAAAAAAAACAGCTGCCCAAAAAAACATTGCAAATTATCACGAGAAGAAAGACGCAGTTTTGATAGCCATAAAAGCACAGAAATTGTGTAAGCTACAAATCTCGACACCCGAAAACTGTCTCGGCTGCACTGTTTTTTTTTCTAGTGTATTCGTATACCCAGCTCAACAGTCTACACAGTAAAGAGACCATAAGATGGCACGTTTAGAATTGTTCCAGAGTCGGACTTTTAACAAAATACATGTAGCAGGCGAGATGTATTTTTTAATGTTTACATATCAACTATTTTGATTTGTTTCTAACGAAAAAAAAAGATCAAGAAGGCCAAAGATGAAGCTACACACAAGTTGTGCCACAGAAGTTACCAGCTTACGATTTCACAGAAATGTGATCTGTGACTTCATTTTTTGCTGCTCACTCGCTGCTATACCTGACAAAGTAGACTGTCTGTAATTAGGTTCACTGCACGATGTCATAGCTCCTTCAGATGTCGTCACTGCAGTGCATCAGTGTGCGTGCATATGTGTGGCGCTCTGCCCGGACCATAGAACAAAAACCAGAGCATTTTACGAGTGAAATATATGTACATTACGTCCAGCGATGAGATGCTTCGGTATTTACAGTCACGTCACCAAACAAGTTTCGGTCAATGACAAAGTGTTACGAAGCAAAACTGTGCCAAGTATCAGCTCCCTTTCCGGTTGATGTTTGATGTGCCGTCTTTTTTGTTTCTGTCACCCCATGAAGCGTCCAATAAAACAGCAACCTACATTACACTAGCTTCTGCCTATGTCTTTTTCTGACGCTCATTTTAGGGTACATGGACACAGCACAAGCGCCAATGGATGACGACATTATGAAGCACAGTGGTCACATGACATGCACTGTGCTTTATGTGAAATTTGACGCCGCCAATCATTTAGGTATACGGTAGGTTTCTCAGTGACATGCATTTTTCTTTCCAGCGGCTCATCTTGGCCATACGCAACTTTCTAGTTCCGTTTCTGACTTTGGATGAATGGATTGATTCAAATTAAGCCGTCCATTTAAATGTGGTTGCGCCCCTTGACATCTTATAATTGACTGTAGTTAAGCTAGAATTGGGCAATCTTTTTGTCTCAAACAATCACCGCAGGGTAGAGAAACGTCACTGCATTGATGATTGACAAACCTCACTGTCGATAGAACAACCGACTTTTTATAGCTGGTTGCACTTTGTCATAAAGCTATCATTATTTGCACTATGGCTTTTTATAGCTAATTGCACTTTCCCTTAAGCACCAAACCGCAGTGCAGACTGCAACGACGATCAAGCATTAATGTCTGCAACAATCCAGGCAACTTCTGTACAGTGAGATGACTAAAGGCGAGTGATTTTGCGAAAAGCGCATCCAGCTTGAGTGTCCAACAAGATAAAATATTTATTACGGGCCATATCGCTGGACATTCTGCCATAGTGGGACCTCAGCTTCATTGGGCATAATCTCGCTGGCACCTGGCAACATGTAACCACTGCCACCGGCCGAGATCTGCCCTTTGCGCATCTATGCTCGTGAATGACAGACGTATACTTGGCAATCGCAGGAATGAGTTTAGTACTTGAAATAATAATAAAGCAGGCGACGGCAAGGGAACATAAGTTGCAGGTGTGGAATAAAAGTTGTAAGCCGCGCTGGTTCGTGGATTGGTGGTCTCTAAGTTGTTATGAAAAGGAAAAGAGAGAAAGGCCCTTAACTGCCTATCTTTACGATGACACCTCATCGGGTAGGCACAGGGATAGGGTAGTGGGAATAAAAGGGATAGGTAAGGAAAATGGTAGAGAAGAAAACATGTAGTACACATTCAATTCGCTTCTCACAGCGCGCACGCGAACCACCGCGGGAACCCGCAACGATCCAGAAAAGCCACCGAGAAGACCGGGGGAATACTTTCGTCGAAAAGGGGTGATGAGCAAAGAGGCGCAATAATAAATGGAGCGCGTGAAGCACTCTCCTGGGCGCATAACCCAGTCATGAAAAAAAAGACTTCCTTTTTAACATACGGGTGGGAGTCCTGATGGCCTCGTGGGTCGTAATCCGACCGGCTATATCTTCGTCACGGCGGCATCGTGTGTAGCAAGGGCTGCAGCACCAAGTCCTCCCACCGGTGAGTCAGCCGGCAGCGTCACAAGCACTGCACGAACCGCGGCCGCTGAAGCCGCCATCACCGCGTCCTTCGGGTCGACAGACGAAGCTGGCGAAGTGGCCGGAGGGGGTGGGGCCGAGGTTGAACTTGATAAGGCAGCAAGCGCACTCTTGAAAGGGTCTTTGAAGTGGTTCGGACGCCACCGGCAAGAGCGTCGCGGAAGGAAACTCCCTTGACGACGGCTGCCCCTCTCGGCTTGTCGGCGTTGTTGACAGTGGTGCGGACGCGCTCCAACGTATGGCGGCGAGTCACGAGGCCCTCTGAGGATTGATTTGATTGATTGATATGTGGGGTTTAACGTCCCAAAACCGCCATATGATTATGAGAGATGGCGTAGTGGAGGGCTCCGGAAATTTTGACCACCTGGGGTTCTTTAACGTGCACCCAAATCTGAGCACACGGGCCTACAACATTTCCGCCTCCATCGGAAATGCAGCCGCCGCAGCCGGGATACGAACCCGCGACCTGCGGGTCAGCAGCGAAGTACCTTAGCCACTAGACCACCGCGGCGGGGCGCCCTCTGAGTAGGCAAGGATGACTTTGGTATTGCGCTGGAGCTGCCAGGAGGGGCAGTGCGGCTCGGTCGCCGAGTGGTTCCCGTTAGAATTGAGGCAGCATTAGTATGGCGTGGAGCACAACCTTTTAGGGTGCCTGCCACCGCAACGAAGGCAGCGCTCGTGTCGCGAGCAGGTCGCCGTGGCATGGCTGAAGCGACCGCAGCGAGTGCACTGAAGGAGCCGTGGCTGACGAGGGTGGACTGCTTTCCGGTGCTTGAACAGGAACGCCTCCGTTGGTACGGTGGTGCCCTGAAAGGCGAGTATGAGCCACCTGCCTCGTCGGACCCAGGAGACGACAGGGAAGGCGGAAACAAGGTTGGCCGCGAAGCCTTCCGTAGGGAGGGTTGTGTCGACGTCGTAAACGGTGCCACGCAGCCGTTCTCCACGAGGATTCTCCTCATGACGTGGATCTCGAGGAGTGGGATGACCTGGAGAAAAGGTGCAAGATCCGCGAGGGGATATACGTCCACTGCAACCACGTTGCGTCGAAAGTTGACGCGGACGCACCGAGTGGCCGGGAAGCCGGGCAGGATGACCCCGATGGCTTCGCGGGTTGTAGCGAGGGCGTTAGCGTTCTTGCCACTTGGGCGAAAAAGGGTAGTGCCGCCGCACTCTCCCACTGCTGCAGGAGTGTGTGCTCCCGTCTCCTTGAAGCCTTGTAGGTGCCGCCTAGTACACTAAATAATGACGCGTTGCTTAAAATTATCAGTCCCGGGCATTATCACACTCTCCGCTGAGCATTAAGTCTTATTGTATGTGTTTCACTGGTCACGTGACCATTTATATATTCCTTTTATTGTCGGACATTCACACTCTGATTCAGATGGAATAGTTGCGGTGCCCACTGAAGTCTAGCGGTCGCTCTTAAAGGGCCACTCACAAGGCTCCCAAAATACTAAAAAAAAGAGCGCAATATTTTTTCCTGATACTTATTGTCTTTCTTGGTGCGCTACTGTGACGTAGACAGTAGTTCCCGTGACGTCTACAGCGTACATGCTCTCGATTCGTAGCTATACGCGAAATATTACTTGCGATTTGTCCCCTGCACTGCTTTGCCATGCAGCTAACGTGGTTGCTTGGGCGAGTTGGTACGACATGATTCACATAAATAACAGCGCCAATAACGAGGGACAAGAGCAAGAAGCAGACAGACAGTGGCACTGACTTACAACAAGATTTATTTGCTATAACCGCACAATATATACTTGGGCAGTATCTGACAAAAAAAGAGAAAAATACAAAACCAAGAAAACAGAATCCACCTAACAACCACGTAATCATCGCCACAACGCAATAACACGTGTGCTAACGTTCTGAAGAAAATGTATTTTTAAATCAGAACGAGCCCAGAGAATAATGCTCGAACCCGTACAAAGGATAAGGGACAGGAGAAACGAAACTTCGTCGTTATTCCCTATATCAACGGCGTCACCCACAACCTCAAAAAGTGGCCAGTAGGTGCGACGTAGACCTGGTTTTTTCCGCCCCAGAAAAACTGGCTAGGTTGCGCAAGGCCGTGAATTCTGGTTCCAGGGGTGAGCGAGGCTGCAAAATCAAGCATCGGAAGAAGTACGTTCCATGCATTGAAGGGGTGGTGTACTCTCTACCCCTGTCATGCGGCAAGTGGTACATCGGCCAAACAAGCAGGTGTTTAAATTAGCGGCTGAAAGAGCACGCTCACAACGTCTCCTCTACAGTTTCGGGCCACCTCGGCATTCATTGCCGAGACTGTGGTTGTGTCTGTGATTTTCAGCTTTGTACCGTCATTAGGCGTCATCGGGACCAGATGATACGTGAAATTTATGAGGCTGCAGTGATAGAAAGGCTGGGCAGTGCATGTGTCAGCAGGCCTTCGATTGCGCTATTACAAAAAGAAATTAGTTTTTTTCAGAACGTTAGCACACGTGTTGTTCATGGTGCGCTGTGGCGATGATTACGTGGTTGTTAGGTGGGTTCTGTTTTCTTTGTTTTGTATTTTTTTCTTTTTTTGTCAGATACTGCCCAAGTATATATTGCGTGGTTCTAGCAAATAAATCTTGTTGTAAGTCAGTGCCGCTGTCTGTTTGCTTCTTTCTTTTGTCCCTCGTTATTGGCGCTGTTTTTTATGTGAATTTTGCCATGCAGCCGCCCATCCGCTTTTCTTTGTCTCGCATGAATATCGTGCACAATCAACCGATCAAACTTGATTTTGTGTGTTCACAAGTGCGAGAGTGGCGATAACAGCGTGCAGCCGAGAAGCGCGAAATTCTGGTAGGCTCAAGCGCTTAGTGCTGATATTGTTCACACACATTCAAGAACTAAGTGGCGAGGATAATGCATCGTGTGTATGAAGGAGAGAAGAAAATCACCCCCTCGTCTTTAAACGCGGGGTGGTGAGGGGCCCTTTTTAAGCAAAACCTACAACAATGTTCGCTGTTTGATAAAAAAAACAACCGCCTTTGAAAAACACTGTTCGGAAGAAGAATGCGCACGAGCCATAAAAGTATGTGACAAATAAGCACATAACAACCTGCACTGTAAGTCTAAGTAAGAGACAGTGAAATGCGTGCATTTCCATTCCTAAGGGTTTTATATGTTTTCTAGATCAATTGCTCGTAATAAACGAGCTATTCTCTTAAGAAGCAAACATCGGAAGCCCAAGTGCGAAAGAGTAATTTGTCTTTTCAAGGTCACTTTAGCCATGGCTAGGTACGTCAACTTGAACATAGTGTCCGTGTATATGCGGCAAAGGGTTCCGTGTCAAAGCATGCTTACAAAATATGTACAGTCTACCAAAAGCGGCTATAGTATATAGCTCAGCAGTTAAGAACACACGCTTTGATATCAAACAATTTCTTTTCGTTGTCAGAGAAATTAGAATGACAAAACGTCCATGACTTAACAATTGAATTTGTTAAGATGGAACTCCTGAGTGCTCGTGTTACTTTTTTTGTGTGTGTGTTCTGTCCTTTTTGCGCAACGTCCTCCCCTTGCCGCCACCCTCACCACCTATTTTTTTTCTCGTCGGTTTATATCTGGTTCTAACCGCCTCTTTAG